CTGAGACTAGGACTATGCAAATGTTGCATAAATCCGCCATAACATACATCAGACATTCGCTGATATTGTCATATTTTTCAATGAATAGCTAACAGTTTACCTTTCATTATCGGTGACATGTTTAATAATTGACGTAAATTGTGGGGCACAATAGCCAGTTCGCCGATATAATAACAGATCGGTTTATTGCTGAATTTTATAGTTTATGACTCTGAATATAACGCACATGATTTACAGCGCCAAACGTGCATCCATTTTCGAATAAAAACAGGACATATATAGCCATTCCGCCACACACGGATGATTCACAATAAATACAGGAAATTATTTGAAAGGCCCGTTTATGAAACCGCCTCCTGCGAAAAAGCGTATAGTATTGAATATTGACGTGATATTGGTATCCCAAATCATCCAATTTCTGTGTAGAAATATAGAAGGTACGCTTCCAAATACAGAAGCGCGGATAAATTAAAATGTCTTAGATAGAGGTTGGTGAGAGAGAAATATAATTATTTGTCATACAAGGGAAAAAGTTGTAGATTTTAGCTCTAGGTTGTGTTGTCTCCCGACGCGTAGCGTTTCCGACATTTCAATCAGAAATCACGTCATTTCATTGCTCAGCCTGGATTTAGCACTGTTTTACGGCATAGTATAATAACTAAGCGCTTGGCCATCCAAATTAATATATTCACACCAAATATACAAAGTAGACACAATTGAATAATCCGAAATTTATGAAATGAGTAACTATTGTGGAGTAATGAAATAAGGATGAACGATCTATTCACGGTCAGATGAATTTTGGAATAGGATAGCAAATTTCAGTTTTCTCCCGAAAATGGAGACATATCCGTTCGGTGAGTTCGGATTAAAAACAATGTGCCATGTAGAAAATTCCTCTGAGTGAATATGCATATGTGGTTGTGAGTGAATTTGCTGATTGAAATTTTTGAGTGAATTCTTAACTCAAACTAGATATTTCATCAAGTTCTCATATCAATGAGAATGTTTATAACAAATTTGATTGAATCGGTTCATGAATTACCAGTTTACACAGTCAAGTAGGGTGAAATTTCAACTCAATCGGGCGTGGACCAAAATTGACTCATTATTGCGTGGACCTTGAGTGAAATTTCACTCAATTTTGTTTTCAGTGCATGTGAAACATTTTCGCATCGAAACAGTATCGAATATTGGGTGTTGACCCACCATGCAGCATGGCATTTCCGATGCTCAGATTCCGCTTTACAGTGGCGAATCCGCTATGGAATCGCCCGAATACCAGATATCCAATTCGACACATGTGCAAATAATGTCTCACCTTCCCCACCGCATTTCCACCACAGTCAGCAATATCCACCCCTATGTGCGAGCCCCCGGCTCCTGACACTCTATCCCGGTCCACTCCGTTACAGGAATCAGAGATCATATACACTCTAGATAGATACCGTTTCAATATCATTCATTCAATAAAAACATTTTTACAAATCTTCTGAAGGGACATTGGACATGATCGAAATGTAGAACATACAATGCATAGAACACTTACATACTCCACAGAACTACCCTCTAAGGGAGCCCTCAGAGGCGGCCGATGCAGGCCTCGCCGATGATTTTTGTCTAACAACCTTGATGACAGTCATGATTGATCGTCGATTGCTACCTTGATCTCTTCAATTCAGCAGTTTTGTGTTGGAAAATAAAAATAAAAAACCCAATTTTAAAAATTCTCTGTGAAAGACTCTATGAGGGATGAGGGGTGGGATAGGTGTGGTGAGTGATTGGGCTCTAATAGACGGATTCCGTATCGGCAAATAGACTAGTTTTGTTAGCCGATAGGCGTGCTAAGTTGTCTGGGTGCTGCTTCATGGAAATGCTCCGATAGTCGTTCAGCAGGGCCACATAGCGTTTAGTATATACGGCCCGGTCAAACAATCACCGTTCTCGTTCAATTCAGCTTCTCAGCTGTTTGTTGTCTAGAATCAGTTTGTTCATAAAATTCATTTGATACGTTAATGATGTAATCCTTGATTAAGGGTAGATCATGGCATTGAGCATGCATGTCAGGCACTCGAGTGTGTCTATTACCGTTAGTAATGATTCGGAGTACTTTGTTCTGTAGCACCTGTAGCCTATTCAGTTGAGTGGCGGACAAGCCTATCACAGGTCTTATCACTTGCTTGTACAAGAGCAGATTGTTATCCATTGTTAGTCCGGAATTCCTGACCAACAATGGATACAACTGTCTCATGGCTGCATGGCCTTTACCAATTAATTTGGTGATGGTATCTCTGAAGCACATACGCTTGTCCAGCACTACTCCCAGGTATTCCACTGAGGTGTTGACCGCCACCCTTGCGTCTTTGATAATCAAAGGCCCATGTGTAGAACTGTTGGTTTTTTTTTCTTGATAATCTACTCTAACCTGACCATTTCACACACAGATACAGCCAAATTTCTTGGCAACCACCTATATAAAAATTTGAACTTCCATAATCATGTTGATTCTTTGGGTAAAAAATTGTCCTCGGGATGTTATGCTCTCCGAATTGTCTCCAATGAATTGGGTAAGGCCACAACGAAAAGGGTGTACCATGCATGCTTCAATTGAGTCGCACATCAATGGAATACCTTTCTGGGTTAACTGCAACCAACATAACTCCAATGCAATTGATAGTACGATACTTGTGTAAAGTTAAAACTAGGGTTTTGGGAAAATCTTTGTTTAATGAACAAAAAATCCTAACTTGCATCAATATTTATCCCTTTCACTGTGCCTAGTGCATGAAAATGGATCAGCATATAATAATGATTCTTTATTTAGCAAAAAAGCTAATACAAGTGTCTGAATAAAACAGTCATAAGATAAAAACAAGCGAGACATCTAAACATTCGATTCACAAACTCAAGATTAATATGAAAATTACAATAAACTTACAGTACAAAATCAAATTTTTTTCTAATCTTCTACTCCTCAGTGGAATGAAAAAGTGGTCTTTCTGTCTGGTATTATGATTATGCACTTCTTCATCATAAGGTAGCTCTTTTATCAAATAATTTAGTGCTCCGCCTCTTTGTATTTTAAAAATAAATACCAATACTGAAAATTCAAAATAATTATTCATCAGGCTGCTCATTTATTTATATACTGCGTATTTTTAAAAGTTCACATCTTCATGTTCAATCATGTTTCTCCCAATTTCGGTGTTTTATTCATAGTAAATATAGGTATACTTATTTATGAATTTCAATTGTGAAATGTAAGTGACTGTTAAATTACTATACCGTTATTATATTTTACAAGTGTATTTATCTATAATGGTTTTTTTCTACATTCATGCAAAAAACAGAACTTTATTGAACTATATTTAGTGGAAAAAGAAGTTCTTTATTGCACTTAGTGCAATAAAGTTTTTATTGCACTCCTCTGTCATTCTACTTCAACGTGTTGTCATCATGACAAACATTTTCAATAATGCAACTGTGGTTGTAGAAACGTCAGTCAAAAATTAATTCTGACAATTAACAGAATTGTACTTAGTGACGCACCTCAATAAATCATTTTTTGCTTTTTGCATGAACGTAGAAAAAATGTTGTATGCAACTCGTGCAAAAATTGTTTATTGCACTCGACGTGTTGTCCAACTCGGCCTAACGGCCTCGTCGGATAATTTCACGTCGAATGCAATAAACATTCACTTTTTGCACTGGTTGCATAAATAACTATTTCAATGAGATCTCTTTTTCGACAATAAGTTTTATTTCGATTGAATGATTCATTATAATATTTATGCAACGAATCATCACAGCCGATTAGCCGCCGGTCCAGTGCCGGATTTATACTCCCTTACGCCGGGGGCTAACTTTTACGATGCCGCCGTGTGTTATCAGTTTCAAAATTCAAATAATCCATTCACTGCTTCTTTTACAGCATATAACAATAATATGAAATCATTATGTACAACGAGTCAAATTATATTTACTTCACACGTTAAACATAACAACAAACAACGAATATTTTTTCCAGATGAAACTAAAATCTCGATTTTTTTGATGCAAAGTCGTCAATGAAATCATCATAATTCAGATTTAATAACATATCACTGTTTATACTTAGAATTGATAAGATATTCAATATATCCTCCACCATGGGATTCCTAAGGTAGTTTTTGACTCTTTTCAAAGTTGAGAATGACCTTTCACCACTGGCATCACTTATCATCAGGGATAGTGAAAAATTCTCAGTAATTGCCAATATTCAGTGAATTAGGAATTTGTTTTGATTATCCCTAAAATAACGCTTAGTCGTGTTCATATTTTGATCATCTATTTTTGAGATTCTAACTCTTCTTATTCGCGTTTCGAATGTAAAAAGATATGAAACTTACGACCATTCCCGCCTTGAGATCGTGAAGTTCCCGGAGACGGTTCTGATTCTGTCTCATTTGAATTTAGAAAAAATTCAATGTATTTTAGGGCATTTCTTGACAACTTCGTCTAACTGCTTCTGTTTATTGATCTTCTGCCGTTTCCGGAATGCACCACCTTCTTTTTCGTTCATTTTTTAAAATTTCAGTTGCAATATTTATTCATTATTAGTACCATTACCAATAATACCTATTAAATACTGAACTCTGATTTTGTTGTTGTTATTGCGTTATTCGAATCACGAAATTACCCCTACTCTACTGAGTAGAATGCGGTGTTTCTTCACATCATCGAATAAAAGTATTTACCGCCTCCGCATTTGTATTGTAACGTCCAAGACACAGCTGACGCTAGATTAGTGCATGTTACAAAAGGCAGTCAACGACTGTATTGCTGCTCGCTTTTCCTCTTTTCTCTTTTTCTCTACCGCCTCTTGAAATTCACCGCCGGGGGCTGATAGTCTCATAGCCCCCCCCCTAAATCCGGCACTACGCCTGTCTGTTAAGTCCCATCGGAGCTTCGCCAATGGTTACCCAGACGTTGTCCATCTAGAGTGTGCCTTATCTTTGCAGGAATCAACCCCTGCACGAGCGTCCGCTGCACCCCGGACGAAGAATGCGCCATAAACAAATTCGGGATAGCCCATTGCGAGTGCCCTCCGACCTGCGAGCCCGTTATGCGGCCCGTGTGCTCCAAGGAGGGCAGGACCTACCCTTCGGAGTGCGAGATGAAGAGGGCGGCTTGCTCAGCTCGCACCAGGATTGAGATCGCCTACGCAGGTATTATTAACATAGGCATTGTGTGGGGGAAGAGGGTAATGGGCAAGTGGACTATAGTCCTACTACTATACAGGGTTACTGGTAATTCGATAAATTCCTCTGGAAAAGTGATAGGGGCAGTGGCGTAACTACTATACCACGAAACCCTGCGGTTGCGGGGGGGGCCGTTCCTCGGAGAGGGCCCTGGGGCCCTTGGTCCACTAACGAGAGCAAGCCAAATTGGTTGATACATGAATATTCTCAATCATCAATGTGCCACAGGATAAATTTTTCAATTTTTGCGAATAGTGCAGACATGTTATTTTCAGTGTACGTCCAGGGTGATGTGTGAAATCAACGAAACAAGCCAATTTGAATGGCTAACTTGAATAAAACTAATGGTGCTTCAAAAAGAAGGAGGAAACAGAAGTTAAAAGATGAGAATTGTGAAATTTCCAAGATTACCAGGTTCTTTACGAATACTACTACTGTTTTGGATAATACAGTTCAAGTAGTAGCAGTATGATGATTGAAACAGGAATGGATGTTGACTCTGCAATTATTATGGTAGAGAAACTATTATTCCAGATTTTTTGGAATTTTCTATCCTCGTTCCTATACAACAACAATATGAAAATTATTTCAATTTCAACTTGTCAGTGACAATTTCTATTGAAAAAAGTTTGGAGGAGAGAAATAAAGGTATGAAGGAAAAATATCAGATTTTCACTTAGCAAATGACGAGACTTTTGCTACTACTGCATTCGAAACTGCCGAAGAGAAACCCCGTTCAACAAGGGAAACTAGTTTCCAGCGAACATTTTCTGTAAATGTGTGGATGGGACTCATTGACCGATATTCAATAGAACCACATTTTTCCTCCGGAAATTAACGGGGAAATATATGAACATTTCCTACGGTATGATCTACATCAACTTCTTGAGGATGTTCCTCTCGCCATCAGAGGACGAATGATACCCAACAAGACGGTTGTGTAGCGCATTATCGGCTGATCGTTCGGCAATTCCAGAGGATGAACGTTTTCCTGACCGTTGGATTGGAATGTCAGGTCCAATGGATTGGCCAACGCGAAGCCCTGACCTAACCCCACTTGATTTCTATGTGTGGGGTCATATGAAAGCGCTTGTTCATGAAACCCCAGGGAATACCCAGGAAGAGCTCATACAAAGGATGACCGACACTGCCCTGCACATACGAAATAATTTGACATCTAGAATAACAAAGACGGAAATAGGAAGACGCTGCCGACCATGTATTCGTAATAGAGGCTCACACTTTGAACAGGATTTGTAAAAAATGAATACTTACACAAAAATTTCAAGTACGTTTTCACTTATCATTTGAAATAACAAAGCTATATCAAGCACTTTCAGTTTCATTTGTACCCAGTCAGATAGCTTTCACCTTAAGGAAGTTTTAAAGAAAAATTGACAAATGTGGTTTGGAGACTTTTCTAAAAATATCCGCTGGAAAATGTTAAAATCCGCAATTCACAAACAAAAATACGACTTTGAATTTACAATTCAGCTATGATATAAATAGATTTTTTCTTGATTATTTTCATTCAAAAACATAAGACCATAGTGTTGATGATGTATTGTAGTTGGAATGTTATCACGCTCACCCATTCAAATATCCTCTAGTATGAATTGATATAATTTTTTCAAGTCAATTGGTAGTTTATTATATAATTTGATAGGTTGTAGATAAAGTATAGTATTATACTCGCGCAGGTGTCTGCGGCGAGCGAGGCCCTTGCAGCGATCACGAATGCCAGTTCGGAGCGGTCTGCGTGGCCAGAACCGGCACGGCCCATTGCGAGTGCCCTGTGTGCCCCGCCGAGTTCGAGCCCGTCTGCGGCTCGGACGGGATCTCCTACAGCAATGCGTGCAAGCTGCAACAGGAGGCGTGCAAGCACAGAAGAGGCATCACGGTGCTCTATAACGGACCTTGCAGTAAGTGGTTATCTTAAACTAGATATAACAATTGATGGAATCCTCGATTCATTGAAAATAAGGCTGTGTCAAGCCATTCATTATACCACAGTGCTAATTCCAGGATATCCAATGGTTCACTCAACTCCCATTAAACGATAACGTGGTAACTTTGTGGGCAGGTTCGAGATGTGACCGATATTCCCAACCAGCTGATTGGTCAAACCAATGGTCGGACTTCATACTGAACGTATGTTCCTGGTCAAACCACAGACTTGACACAGCCTAAATATACCTACGCCAACAATCCTCATTGCCAAACACGGATAAATGAATGAAATCGCGGATGGTGGGGATACTACTGCAGAATCATTGCCAGAGAATTGATATTCTCCATAAATATATTTTATATACCTAATGAATAGGGATTTCTATGCATCTGTGTATGTGCATTAATGAATTAACTCTGACGTATTGAAACATATTTATACGTCCCTTTGTAACGTCTATAAGGGAGGCTATTGGATAATAGGGAGTTGAAGTGTTGCCATGAACGTTAACCTAAACGTAGAAATTAATAGGTACGCATGCGCATTTTTCAATTCTTCATTTTTGCATTGGTAGTGTGCTTATGTCACGTACTTCCACGTATACCTTGAATAGCAACGTAGGTACGTTAAGCAAACTATACTCAAAATATGTCGATGAGTCAAAATTATCAAATTCGGGATCCCCAAGGAGTTCTGCATCAAGGAGTCCCCTCATTCTATCAGGGATAAATGTTCGGTTCTACACACAATTACCACATCCTTATTTTTCACACGTAAAGCTCTACGTGGAGGTCTACGTACAGTGATTACTTCAACTCTCTATTTTTTTACATGTTTAGTTAAAACAGTTTCCTCAATAACCCATCCATCTTAATGTATTGATGTTCTCAATTTTCTAAACACGCTTTTCATCAACAAAAGCAAGCCCTCAAAACAATACCGCCACTGTATCAAATTTCTATACGTATGTACATACCTGTGAAATTTCAGGTTGGGATACAACAAAAACGACAATTCTCTGTCAACGATTTTTGCTCGTATACTATGAAACTTTGTGGTACCGCCACGTTCATCATTGTCATTGTATAAATAATATTTTTTCTGTTATGTACTTTACAATGATCAAAATTACTAAGTAGCGATTTCCAGACAATTTTGTTGTTATGGGTGTATTATCATGTGATTAAGGTCATTCTATTTTTTGTCATAAACTATTTATGACGAGTTGAACAAGATGTTTCATTTTTAAGAGAATTCTCGAATTTTCGATTTGGCAGCGGTTCCACAAAGGTCCTTAGAAACTGATATTTTCTCCGCAGAATAAATAATCAAAATAATTCACGCTTTTTAACTAGTTACTTTCAGGTTAATCCATAGGAATCAGATGCCGTAAGATTCTTCGAAGTGGAATTTCAATAAACACTATCGGAAGTTCGCCTTTTAACATCAGATGTCTTCAATAAAAATGTCATTTTGAGTCACCAGTATTGAAAATAACCCACAGAGGGTGGAAATATAAGGGCGAAAATTTTTCCTCACGTATGTCAATAAAGGATAAAATAGTGCTGATTGTTTACATATTGTAGCTCACCAAGGCCCCAAGGTCTAATGTTCATAAGATCATGATGAGTAGAAATATCATCTGGCTTATGATCAGTGATTTTGATTCATCGGGATTTTTCACAATATTGTCGTATAAAGTGACTCAACAATTCTCAAAATGAGTTTCATTTCAATTAAACAAATAGTTTTTGAGTAGATAAAGAATGAGAAAAAAAATATATATATATTCTTCCTATTTATAACCAGTTAACAAATGAGGGATGAGATATACATTCTTCAGTATTCAAGTTATAAGACGTGATAACAGTTAAACTTGAGACATGCATAAATCTAGGGGGAAGTTTTGCATTCACGACAAAATTTAATCACGATGCAGCATGCCCAATTACCTACTTACACCAAAGTTTCGTAATTATTTTACCATATTCCAACAAGGTTGCTCCTCATAAATATATCTCACCATTAATGGGAAACCATCAGTATGTTGTTGTACGAAATATATTTTTTTTAATTTACTGGGAAATAGTTATTTGATTCATTCAATTTCTCTTTTCATCGAATTCGCGTGCAAATTCAAACTGAAAATGTTCAGTATGTTTTAGTGTTGTTTTGCTGTTTTATTCGATTGATATAAAATAAAGCACTGGACAATTCAACAAAATTCATCCATTTCCCATTGCTTTTCGATGGCATTAGTATTCCCTTTCTTCGACTTTTGTAGCTATATATAGTTGATTTCACGAATAATATGTATAATTCAGCAACCGTGGCACTGACAAAGAAGTGGTATGTATTGAGTATAACAGACTAGATGTCTTGAATAGTTCAGGAGATTTTAGCTTCTCAATTGGATCAAAAGTTTCTCTAAATCGGCTTCTGATTGAAGGCAAAAGTCCTTGTCTGCGAAAAGACGTTATTTGTGAAATTGAACAATGATGTGGACATTTACAGAGCACTCAACCCGATGTCTCTTAGGGGATTATTATAGTCTGCAGTCCACTTTCCAATAATGGCTAGAGATTCGATGTCCAGAATCAAGTGGAGCTCGTTCCTGACAGCTTCTCTCGCTAACTGAGTTTATAAAAGTTCCCACTAGAGTTTCTCCGTTTGACCATTTCATTACTGAGTGAGCTCATTATCAAAAATTCAATGCGACTTCGTTATTTACAGATGGCTGCGAGAACAAAAAATGCGATTTTTATTCAACTTGCGAAAATGATGGAGCCACGGAAGGAAAATGTGTCTGTCCTGAATCATGTACAGATGTAAAAGTGAGTGATTTACAGATAAAGAGATATTTTTTATGCATCATCTTCATTTTCAATGATTTTTTAATTGAGTTGGGAAGATGGAAATCAAACTGGCTCAATCATTATTCACTAGTGTTTACCTCCTGGAATTTCGTTCTGACATTGTATATTGATAACATCGAATGCATTTACAAATATATCGAAATTTCAACTTCCCCATATGTTCCCGAAATTCCCAAACTTCCTCTGGTTTCTCGAACTTCTTCAGATTTTCCCAAACTTCCTCAGAATTTTGATAATCAGAGCTGTTTTTCTAGCTGTACATACGTATCATCTCATAGTCCATGGAGTGATTGATTATTGAGAGTATTAACGTCAAAAATGGTTATTTCATGTATATACTCTCTGATTGTGCAAATATAAAGGGACGGTGATAAAACTGGCCATTGCATTTACATAACATAACATTCCATCGACAAAATTATTTGTGAAGATTATTCCCTGAGATTGTTTTCATGATCATATGATAACTCATTGAAGAACGTCCTCGAACTTCTCAGAACTTCCCCAAAATTCCTCGTACCTCAAACTTCCTTAATCTTCCAGCTCTTCAAACAACCTCGAAATTCCGCGAAATTCCTCATACTTCCTCGTACTTCCCCGGCTTTTTCGATACTTCCTCAAATTCTCCTCAAATTCCCTCGAACTACCTCTAACTACCTCAAGCTTCCTCAAACTTCTTCCAACTTGCTCGAACTTCCTCGACCCTATACAACAAACTTACCTGGTGATAACCCTTCGGGTGGGACTGAATGACCTTTGTGAGAACAAATTCTGAATTAGATCAATTAGCGTGTTATATACTATGACGTTTTATTCGTGCACTAAGAAAAAATGTGTAATATTGCTACGAAAGAAGTATTTTTGGGCCGTTTTTTCACAGTGTATAACGATCTGAATCGTATACAAAAAGTTTTCTAGCGAATTCGACATCGAAATGAAAAAGTTACCATAACAAACATTTGACCGCTGTATCGCTCCATTTTGAAAATCACTGAACAAAAATTCGAAATATTCTAAATCACTGAATGCGAGAGCAAATAAAATAGTAATTGAAATTTCTCGGATCGTATTGGAAGAGCATTCGCATACTGAAAAGGTCATTTTGTTTTAGCTTCATAGGACGAATCGAAAAAAATCAGGAAAATTTCATTTTACGCAGATATTTGATATGAGCGTATTAAGTGGACCTAGTTGCAAAAAAAACTACATCACGTATAAAAGGTTATCTTCATTTCGTTATTTCGTTATTTGGTCATCAATATACCGAGTGTCTGGTAAACCATGGCCCTGTCTAGGGGGTACACAGGGCTGGACCAACCCTTTTCCCCATTACTCGTAGAAGGAAAATGTTGACCTTCTTCATGAATAAAATCAGGCCTCGAAAAAGTGGTCTTCAGGAACCTGAACGAAAAGGGTCTTCGAAGTTCTCACATATATCGTGATGTTTTTTGAAGTGGCCCTTTCGAGGCATATTCGAGGTTAGATACAATTTGCCAACAGGCCTAAGTGGGAGACAAACCTTGGAAGGTGGTGTTTAGTGGGTTCACCTACATATATAGCGACTCCCACACTACCATGAAGGGAATGGCCCTTCGTGGTGTCCATAAAGGATTTCGGTCACCTCCGAAAAGTAAACCTGTATCGTGGATCTAGCTGGTGCTGAACAAGTTTATGTATATATAACCTGTCAGAAAACCACAACTTGTCCTCAGTAAAAACCACACGGTTTTCGGGATATTGGAACTATTATGAAAAAGAAAACTGAATTTCTATCTGTTGACTACAATTCAATCAAAGAAATGAAGAAAATAAAAAATATCAGCCATTCAAAGGTTAAGTAGGGGGAAGAGTTCATTCTTGAACACAGTGTACACTGTAGAGTGTGTCCAGTTTTCGTTGCTTGCGCGTGATATCTCTGTTATATCTTTTTAGAGATAGAACCTTGCGGCTTTCGCGGTCCTGTGCCTTGTGTTTATGAGATACAGGGTGATTTTGAAAATTTATACTTTTTGAATCCCCTCTACGAAGTTTCTAACTGAAAATTTTGAATCAACATCTCATCCCATAGAGAATCTTACGCAGATTTCAGTGGCGCACAAATTTTTTTTTTGGGTAGAGTTTTCGAGATACGACTCGAACTCATGATTTTCGAAATATTTCATTAGCTAATTGAATTCCTAATTTGTTCCATTAAAAATGATTTATGATATACATATAAAATTTTTGAAAATGCTGCAAAATCACTAAAACATTCAATTTCAATAGTGAATTATGTATTTTACACATAAAAAAAGTTTCAACTGAAGCAATATTTCATTCGATATTTTTTAATGAAGAGGACAAAAACAATACCAACACTAATTATCTAACAAAACACAAAACTCAGGTACCTGATAGCAACAAATAAATTGTAATAGAAAGTTCATAATGTGCAATAAGCACCTAATTGAATGTTCACTGAAACAATCGAATTTCAGAATTATTTGGTAACATATTCGTTGAATTGTTCAGATCGATATCCATTTTGCCCCACACACTTTCTCGATACATCTAAATGCATCCAAAATCATTGAAGGATCTCTTTGCAATTCCTGGAAAACTGCCTCTGTTGTTGCACGAAGTTCTTCAAGATTTTTGTGCCTCCTACTGCAATTGAGACGTATTGAGAAAGTGTGTTGTGTGTTATTCAATTGAAACTATGGAAAATCTATAGCCCACTCTTAAAATTCAATGTTTCAGTGATTTTAGAAAATTTTTGGATATTCAATATCTATACATTATATATCATCATGAAGAGGACAAAATAAGGAATTCAATGAGCTCATGAAGTTTGAGTCGTATCTTCAAATCCATGCCCTGAAAAGTCAAATGTGTGCGCCACTGGATTTTGCGTAAATTTCTCTATGAGATAAAGTATTGATTTGACATTGTCGCTGAGAAACTTCGTTCAAAAAGTATGAATTTCTTAAATCGCCCTGTATCTTATAAAAGTAAACAGTTATTCCAAATCTGATTAGTCCATCTTGAGTTTCACAAAAAAGTGGCAAAGGACCGCGGAAACCACGAGGTACTATCTCCAGAGATATCACGTGAAAGCATCGAAAACTGGACAAACTGAACATATAGTTATCCAAATATACGTGAAAAAATATTGCCGATACGCAAAACCCTTGTAAACACTGTATCGGTCATCAACCAAACTTAATATTTTCTTAAAAAAGTTAGGACAGTTAGAGAAGTATGGAATGGGTTTATCATGCAAAACAATCGTTAGGAGTTGGCAAATGAAACAGCTTCTGGAAATCCCCAATCTATCAAGATTTCTTTGTGTTTCCTATTTACTGTTCTCCGCTAACTTGCCAAGCCTAAATCAATTATTACGTTCCCCAAGACGCGGGACCAAAAACATTTCTATTTCACATTAATTCCCATTTCTGTTCTCATTTCAAGAAATAGGGTGTCCCATGTCAGAGTTGAAATCATAATAGAAGTTTTGTTGCTTCTAGAATTGTTTTATTCCTAATCACCTCCTCATCACAAGACGTGATGACCAATTTGACAAACGTAGCCCAATACAACGTGAAAGAATTTGAAGATTTCATGTTCTCAAGATTCAATAATGTTGATTGTGGTGTAGAAATCTGAAGATAGAAAAATAGATATCTTTGTCGATTCACACATATTCAAATTATCTATACAAAGAGGTTTGCGAAATTTATGTTACATATAGACCATTTTCTTTCATTAACTGTGAATAAATGTACTGTTTATTCGCCATAATCATCAGATTCTCAGGACAGTGGAGAATTTCATAACATCTGGTTCCTTAAATCAAATCAAAATAATGTACTTTATTGTCAGAAGAAAAAATTCTTATTGACAAAGTATTGATCGTCCATACAAAGTATAGTCATATACATATAGAAAATAATGCCAGGGGATGGTCGTATCGTCTGCAAATATTGTGAATTGCCCATGTATGTCAACAAGTGTTAGGTCATTCACATATAATAAAAATAGCAGGGGTCCCATTACAGAACCCTGCGGTACTCCATGTTTGAGACCCAGATACTTCGAGTTCACATTTGCGATGATGACGCTTTGAAAGCGTTCGGCCAGATTAGATTGAAACCAGACTAATGCTACACCTCTGAAGCCATACCGATTTCCTGCGAACAATCAACCAGTGTATTCATTTCATGCCATATCCAATGCCAAGTTTCTATTACAGAATCAACTGGGGTTTTCTTCGTGAATAGACCGTCAGCTGGCCTAGGACAACTGATGAGGCTTAGAAAGCCGAAACAGCCTGTATTGCATCATCTGACAATCGATTCACGAGAATCCCTTATAAAAATTCTATTGAGATTCAAGGTATCTCCTATAATTTCAGTATCCGGGGATACACACTTTTCTCAGTGCACAAATAATGATTAGCATGTTCGTCTATCATGACTTCGAACTATAGTTTCTTCCTCAGCTCTCTAGATGACAGACAATATAAGGTTCAAGTCACATATACTAATATTCAACGGCAATAGTTCACCTTCATTGCAACCAAGGTCCGTTTTAATGAAAAACCAAATTCCCTATCCGTATTTGTATCACGTCTGGATTTATTGATACTGCCTATCTATATTCCATGCTCGTATGATATTACTGCATGGTGCAAAGATGGTACTTAAACGCATTTGTTCCCTTTAGCTGAACAACGGGACGGTATGTGGCACAGATGGAGTCACTTACACGAACGAATGCGAACTTCAGATCACCTCCTGCAAAACCAAACAATTCGTTATCCTGGCATACAAAGGAAATTGCGGTAAGAAATTATATATTCAGTGATTATGATTTATTTTGTAATTGATGAACCCCATATCTACTTAACTCAACACTTTCACGTACCTACAGGGTGGCCAAGGACTATTCGGAAATTTTCATCAATGATTGGAATATCAGTCATGCACCTAGAAATTGACAATATTTCTCCAGGAACAATAATCCAAATTTTGATGCTGATGATGATGATGTTTCACCAATATTGTTTTATGAAGATGGCAAGCATTTCACTCGTATTGATTTCATGATAGACGATAATATACAATGTGCAGTGGATATCTTGGTGGAGCTTATCCAGCTGTGTTGTCACGTACGGTTTCCTTGCCTTTGAAAGAAAGGACCATCAATTTGGTTGCCCTAGCTGCTAGGTGCCTCTCTCTCTCTCTCTCTCTCTCTCTAACTCTCTCAGTCTTCAATCTTCATTGACTCTTCATCAAAATGAACACGCATATCATATTATCTACTTCCAGAAATATGTATGTAGGTACCTCATGATAAATCACATCAATAGTCCACTATTCACACCATGTCAAATTTGTGATGATGACCTCTAAACTCACATTATGTGATTAATTCAATCAAATGTGATTTCCATGAGAATGAGTTGCTTTCTTCTGACATTATAATCTTCAAATACAAATATTATCTGATATTATTCGGAGAATCATATAATTTATATCATCCGGTACATTTGAAATCGTTTCATCACGAACGGAACGTCTTTACTGAATGTCAAATTTCCATGCGATATTCATCTTTCCGAAATCAAACATCCAAATACATCAATTTTCCCGAAAGCAAAGCATCGTACGAGCTTGGAAGCCTTGTTTCTTGATGCATAAAATATGTTACCGAATATACAGAGCCAAGAAAGGCAAATTTTCCGTAAGTGTATTGACACGTCAAACACTTCCGATGGAGTAGAGTGCAAATATGGCGCTATATGGAAGCGGCATATTTCCCGCGTATATAAAATATTGCACGACACATCCGCCGTTCAACTCGTCAGAGGCATGTCGGAAACCATAGTCCTAATTCCTTTTGAATAACGAATCAATATGCCAGTATTTATTCGATCTGATCTCGAAACACAACGTTGCGATTTTCCCATCTGGAAAAGGAAATGGTGAATGAGTTCCATAAAAATCCCGAATTAACTTTAATAATCCTTCGGCAATTTTGCCCAATTTGCGGCAGTGTTGTTATATTTGATACCTCACTCAATAATGTATAGTAATGCGTCACGTAAAACAAGGGACTGAAAGGCAGACAGCTTATCGTACTACCGATCTTCAACAAACAATTACTCATTCGTTTCCAGACCTATGCCAAGGTGTCGACTGTAAACACGGCGCAAAATGCGAGGCTGGAGACTGTGTATGCCCCACAAACTGCGAATCTGCTGGGAATGAGCCTGTATGCGCATCAAACATGCTAACATACCAGAATGAATGCGAACTACAGAAAGCAAAGTGCTCGCCACAGTCTTCCTCTTTGAACGTCGTCTTCTATGGGGACTGCCGGGAGAGGTTTCCCGTCGGTGGTGTTCTCAACAGTAAGTTTGAGTTTCGAATTGATGTAGATTCGTTTTCTATTAACCCTGTGCTGGTTCACCGACTAATGAATCTTGCTAACAAGGAAAGGGCTTGCTTACACCGAAATATAATCAGAAACAGAATACTCCTTCACTATCCTTCCATCATACGAAAGATAACAATCACTAATATCCCTTTTCGATTCTTCTCAACACAATAACTTCTTTCCTAGCGACTCTTCCAACAATAACTCTTCAAACTAACTCTGCGACAAATCAAGACATCATTGGTGAGCCTGACAATTCAATTACTGACCCAGCCAATTCAGAAAAAGAGGCTTGCAAAGATATTCACTGCGACTTCGATGCCACTTGCGAGTTAGGTCCCGACAACTTCCCCAGATGCACGTGCCAATTCGACTGCGCAAGCGCTGAACTGAAGTCCGTCTGCGCATCTGACTTGAGACTGTATTCCTCGCTTTGTGCCATGAAGATGGAGGCCTGCCAGAGACAGGAGGAGCTGCGGTTGAGGCCATTAGATCTCTGTCAAGGTTTGATTTAACTCAAAGTTACCATTTTGCTCGCCTGAAAGCATCCAACCATACACAAACCCGCCAGGACTCGATAATATCTTCCAGATGTCGCTTGAAACTTCATCAATTACCGTTGGATGTTCGTGAAGATGTATGAAAGCTCGATATGAAAGCTTGATGATACGTTCACCGCACTTTGTAGCTTCATAAAGTCACTTAATATATATTACGCCATGAAAGGCTCGTTTTCCCCGATACTGATTGAATTTCATTAGCTTCATAGCTAGTCTGTACATTTTTATACTCATCCAGACTATATACGGAAAATGCCTTCCGGCAAGTTACAAAGGAAGCGATGAGATCGAGTTTAATATTGCGGACTGGATAGAAACTGATTTCAAGATTTTCTTCCATATCCAGAGAAATTTACTCATCTTAATTTGATGGATATACGCGATTGTATTTTGTGTATGGTAGGCGGTAATACTAACAAATCCTACTATCACTAATCAATAACAGGTATGGAGGTGAAACCATGCAAAGGCGAAAAACCACTAACTGATCCACTAACAGCAAGGGAGCTAGACTGTGGTAACGGTCCTTTCAGACAAGACTGTCCTTCTGGAAGTTATTGTCATCAGACTGCTAGATTCTCTCGATGTTGTCTGAAAGGTAAATACTACACTTTGCGCATGTTCTGATATTCTCGAACAGTACTGCCCAGTATATTTTATCATTCTGATTTTACTGAAATTGACTTGCAACGTTTCCGCGGGTCATTGCAAAGAATTCTGTTAGAGGCTTAAAGTTAACTGTAGTGGTGCAGAAATGGTAATGCAGTGTCAGTATTCATGAAATGTTGGGTTAAGCGTTCGAATGGTTGAATGAGTCGATGAAAATTGTGTCATTATCATTTTCAAATACTTTGGGAAAATGTATGAATTCGAACTGGATGATCTCTCGGAGGCAGTAGACGCTGAAACTGTCTCTATTCTACAAGATGGTTTGTTATTCTCACTGTTGATATCTTAAAATATTTCACAGATATGCTCCATTTCCAGTCGAACTTAGCGTTTTTGATGATTCAGAATCACTATCGTATATGTCTTCTAAGATAATATGATTATTCACTTTATCCATAATTTTGTCGTGAGTGAAGAAGATAGAAACCAACAAAACAGATCTTTGTTATGGTTATGTTTTTGTGTACCGGTAAATCGTTTCGAAATGAAATGAAAATTCAAAGCTACTGCTACTGTTGATATTCCTGAATTGCTTACTGTGGCCAGTAATGTCAGCAATATCGGAACATGACCAATATAGCGCCAGTATTTCAGAACTAACTCGCTCTGTTATACCAGCGAGCATCCATTTTCTTGACTCTTGACTTCAAGTATGTTTTCAGACCAAAACTTTATCGAGAAGAAAGGTTGCGAAGACAGCTGGTATGGTTGTTGTCCAGACGGTCGAAATTCAGCACAGGGTCCCAATCACGCCGGATGTCCCTCGCTCTGCGGTTGCAATAAGCTCGGATCATATTCTGAATTGTGCGATCCTGAAACGCAACAATGCAGATGTAGGCCAGGTGTGGGAGGTCCTAAATGTGATCGATGCGAACCTGGATACTGGGGTTTGCCGAAAATTTCGTCGGGATATAGAGGCTGCATACGTAAGACTTCACAATTTCACAAAACTATACACGCTAGCGAGTTTCCATTCAAAATTGAAATCTTGCGCGAATTAAAGAAATAATTGTAATCTGATTCGATATGTATTTCACTGAAATAATACAGTCCCAAGGTTGGTTTCTTTCCAGAATGTGATGCATTTAAATCGAGACTGGCCATGATTTATTTCTAACTGATTATCATCATGTCAAATAATATTCATTCTGAATCAATTCCCCACTAATAAATAAGATTATCTACTTTCGAAATTTAAATCTGGCGCGAACTCATGAAATAAATATAATTTGATCCGATATGTTTTTGCAGGAAATTCCTTATTTTCACTTCATATCCATCCCGCACCGAGTAGTTCAGAGAAATAATAGAGTTCCAAAGTTGGTTTCCTCTCAGATAGTGATTCTTTTAAATATATTTATATATATATATATATATTCCTATCATTTATATTTCGTATCATAATGTTGGATTCAGTTCATTGATCTAATTGAAGATCTGTGATTCTGGTGATCCTACATGTCTAAATTAAACATTATGGCTCAGCCCTAGTGAATTATAAAAAAAAATGATTTCATCGACTTTTGGAAGAGTATTGCCAATAAATATGGAAATATAACTTTCAGTTTCCACCTATCACAATAACAACTATGATATCAAACAAATATACAAGGTGGTCAAAATTGTCTCTCGATATTTCTGGTGGCTGATAGTACATCCTGAACCGAAGTTATTATCTGCTCTGAACTTATTTCCTACAAAATGGACACCTATGGATATACCCGCTTGGATAAGAGGATGTTTCACGGAGTGTGGGAAGTCACAATGAATTTGAGGTAAATTCCAATTGATTTATAATCGAAACGGCTTGGTTTATCGAAATCAGACAAGGGTACCTTCTAATTATGTGAGAATGATTTTTCCATAAGAATGTTCAGAAAAATCAAAAAGTTATGGATGAAATACCGTGAAATAATGACAATAATCTCTTCAAGAAACACAGTTTGCCAGAAGAGAGTGATATTACAAGACTGTCAGAAGACATCGCATGAAAACTGATATCAATTCACAATTCCGGAAATATGACTTAGTTTCTGGGTGTACCATCAGCCCCTGGAATACCGGGATACAATTCTAGACAACTGTATATTTATTTCATTCCTTCAACTTTAGCATGTGGCTGCTCTGCCTTCGGATCAGTGAGAGACGATTGTGAACAAATGACAGGACGTTGTGTATGTAGACCAGGCGTTCAGGGCCAAAAATGTACGGTCTGTAGCGATCACGACAAAATTCTAGGTCCGAACGGATGTGTTGCAGGTAAGGGGATTTTGAATCCGTTTCGTATGAGTCAGTTTTTCCTCTAACTTTTCTGGTATCCAGCAGTTGATTTGGCGAGGTCCTCACCATCTTCTTGCCAGGATATGACCTGCTATTTCGGAGCCAAATGCGTTGAACGGGATGGTTCTGCAGTCTGCGAATGCCACAAGAAATGCATCGATGAAAACGATGCTCAAGTATGTTCTAAAATAGAAAACCAGCTTTTTCCATGATTTTTAATATTAATATAATAAGTTTTTTATTCGAAAGCATTTTTGAAACTATGAAGAGAACACAGGTACCTAGCACATTTTCATTGGTATGAATAAATTTTGCAATATACGAGGTTCATCTGAAGGTCATCATGTATATTAGCTCTGGAACAAACTTGAAATTTTCATTAGGGATTGAAAATTCCGGAGATATGCATTTTTAAAAATACTAGTATTTACTCAAAATGTTTCCCAGAAAATCCATTTAACTCGAAATCTATTGAAAGAATACGAAAGGGGTATATAACACGAATCGTTTCATGATGAAAATATTTGTCGAAGTACAGAGAGGTTTGAAATGAAAAAAGGTTCACGTTTATCCGGGAGTGCTACGCTACTGACGATATATCGAATCGTTTGTACATTGATTGTTTTATGTCTCGTTCCAAATTTTCAGAATTTTATTCGAATTGGAACATTGAAAACGTTCAATGAACGGCATACGTGATGAACGTAGATACAGGAGTGACATCCTCTGGAATTAATTTTCAATGATTAACTGCATCTGACTGTGGGAAAATGTAATCATGATGGGATAATGTGATAAAGATTTCTTCATATTATATCATTGTCATGGACAAACTACATTTGTTGTTGTTTTCTTTGGATAGGCAGTTATTATTCTCTAGTAACTTGAACTATCAGTTGCAGAAGATGTTTGATTCAGGAAAGTACAGCTACCTCCATTATTAAAAAAAATATATCTCAAGGAATATTCAGTTTGCTTTGAAGTTGGGACTCGTTCTCGAGACTAGAGTGATACTAGAACAATGGAATTTCGTTCAAAATAGAATTTTATAGCAGTAGAATCTTCACCTGAAATAAACCAACGTTATTGTGGGACACACAGTATATTCGCGAAGATAGGAAAACACCAATTCTCTCCAGATCGGTCTATACTTGAACTGAAATTTGAAATTTAAAGCTGGTACACGATATTAGTTACATATCCGTGACATATCTTGTGAAGCTTTCGTGCAGACAAATTTATTGTGAATACGCCAGTTGCTAGGATATCCGCACATTTTCATATCATTCTTATCTTGTATTTTTTCTCATTCAGAATGAGATGAGCTTTTCCTCAGTTTTCCTTTATTTCGTTCCAGATAACCTCTTAGGAGGAAGAGAAAATATCACCACACATAATCTCGAAGTTTATCCAAACACCGTGCTTTCTCGTAAAAGGAGACATGAAACGAAGAGTAAAATCCAATTTCATTTTCATATGGGCATGTGTAATATCACGACCAAGAGTAAAATTTATATCTTTACGTACAACTGGAATTAATACTGCATTTTCTTATATCTTTCCTCGTATATTTTCAGTATATTGATGAAGCTCCAACTCACTTAGCTATACCTACCTCTTGCATGAACCAAGAAATCTGAATTCATCATGAAAGAAGAGAATTTTAATGACTTTGATAGTATAATGAAATCTGATTGCTCAGTGGGAGTTTTATGTGTGTAAATAGCTCTTCTTGAATAATTTTGACCTCGAGGGACTCGAAGTAGGAAAATTTAGATTCAACAAAAGCAAAATATTGCGTTCAGACAAGAAGGAAGAAAATTGAGAGAAATATGTTTTTAATAAAAGTTTTGCTCCATCCCACTGCTACCCTACTAATTTCGAACAACCCTTCTCTACGTTGTGATCGTTGGAAAATGCTAATGAAGAGCGTTGTCTTCCTGAATGATTCGAATCTGTTGTTCCATTTCTGATGTACTGAGAAGAATTGATTGATGGAAGTTATCAAAAAGTAGGGAACTTTCACAGATTTGCAAAAAAGACCATGCTAAAAACAGTTGAGATTTACATTGAGTCGATATTTCATCAATCCTGTGAAGATGAAATTGTTAAAACACAGTACTCGAGGCTATACTATACAATGAATACATTCGCGGAAGTGTGATGGTCGAAACATTATGGTTCACTAAAAATATATTATGGTCCAATTGTACCTATCTTGACGGCATATTGATCGTTGATTCGGAAACGATGGATTCGTTGATGGAAAACACATCCGTATTGAAATCATAGGTATAGCTAGTCCTTTTAATCAGTGAATTGTGTGAAACATTTCCAATATATGTACATTATATACACTCTGCATTCCTTTTCTCCCCTGAAAATCATCTTCTATATTCCCGTTTCGATGAGAAATCACGATCCGATGTTTTCACAGGTCGTATGCGGTAGCGACGGTCAGTCTTACAATTCCCCATGTGAGCTCAGATTGTTAGCCTGCAGATTGCAGAAAGACATAGTCGTGCAAGGGTTTGGAGACTGCAAAGGTAAGTACACTTGGATCATACTGGTTGTTCAAACACACCCTCAAAAACACGGAATTCAACAGTATTGTACCGCTAAATTGTATCGCTAGTTGTTGGTTAATAGAGGAGGAGAAAATTGAAACATTGCTTTATTGAATTATATCAATTCAATATGTTTATCTGGAGAGTCAAAATGTAAACATGCAATTGATATTTCTCATTCAATTCATCATGGGCAACAAAAAGGCTGATTCAAATTTGTTCATCTCCAAATTCAGACTCCCGTAAGTATATATATATTCATACTGAAACAACGAATACCACTTGAATTGAGCGGAATTCCTCCTATATCAATTTAATGTGAGTAGCAGTTGAACAATATAAATTGCATATCAACCCTATAGAAAATAGTTCTTGATGGTTGATAAATTGGTGAAATAAGCTTATCTTCCTTCAGACATTTTCTTGCGATTATTCATCAAATGTTTCCATGCCCATTCTCAACAGTGAACAATTGCTCCAATTCCTACAATTTTCTCCTCATTCTGTCGAATAGTAATTCAATACGTTCAACTACCCAAATATCAACATTCTATTATGATCCAATCATTAACACCCTAGAGAGGTTGGGGAAAATCATAAGTTGTGCAGCGATATGGAATTGATCATTTCAAAACAACATCACAATATTTTGTGTACATGTAAGAGTTTTGGTTTTGTACAGAAACGCCATGTTTCACGAATATTATATCCCCATAGGAGTTCTTGAAGGCTGCAGTGATTCCACGATCATGTTCCCTATGACTTCGATCTCAAGCTTGCAATCCTATTTGAGAATCCTAACAAAATTATTCCGAGTCAACATATTCCCTGAACAAAGTTTGAATTAATTTGAAACGTGATGCTTCCAAATATCGGCGGTGTTATAGGTATACGGGTAGACTTTATTCATACTCAGTAACCTTGTCTCCCAATCTCGCAAAAAAAACAAGGAAGAATCATCTCTGAGTATCATAAACTATGCCACAGATGACCCCATCCCGAGTACCGACTGGCCCTCGCGCCGTTACACGCCCCTGGAATTCACGCAACCCGATGAATCGAACTCACCCCTGTCCAAATCGACGAGGCATCTCATGGTACCCGATCCACGATACTACTACGAAAGGAGCGGCGATAGAAGAGTCTCCTATCCAGCTGACTACGCCACCAAGGACTCCGAGTTTCATGATCCAGGGCCTGGATCGAATATCGTTTATCGCAACCGTGGTGAGATCATGCTCTTGTAATCATATACTAAAAATACTGATATAGAGATAACTAGAAGTCAATAAAGATAGATGAGATTGTCATAATAAACCGAGTTCATTTTTGATTCCATATAGTTTATACTCTTCGTCCTGCAGATAGAAACATATCCCATAGATATACAGGGTGTCCGTTTTTCGGGCTTCACCATGGGAATCTCTGTTATTATAAGAGATATGAGGTCGGTTAAATTAGGGCAAAGTTGCGCATTTTCATGCTGAACATTTATCTGCAAGGAAATTCGATGTGTCATTCTTAGTTTTTAAATTATTCGAATGAACGAAAATTTTTTATTTTTGTTTTTATTTTTTCAAGCGAAAACCAGAAAACCTAGATGATTCTGACTGGGACAGTCCTAGTGCACTTTTTCACAAGCAATCGGAATCTGTCATCGTATTTTCCATAACGTTCTTGATGCCCAAGTTACAACACACACCTTTGTTTTTTCTCATGGGCGCCATATCGGATTCTCAGATTTTTTAAGTCTTTTTTTCTGATTATAATCATGTATCACACGATATGATCAATTCTTTCCTGTTGATCAAAATTGGCAAAAAAACAACCCCGCACTTTCCTTATGGAAAATGGCTTTCGGTTAAGTTCCCTGATTTCTTGGTATGATGTAGATTTTGACTCCCTAAGCAAAAGTGTCTATGGGCACAAAGAAATCGGCTGACTAGTTTTAGAGATACAGGGTGTCAAAGATGAAAAGTGAAGCCTGCTGCTCAGAATTTTTAACAACTTCGAGAATTGACAAAACGCCTATTTATTCATGGAATAACATGCCTGAATGATGGTACAATGTCATCTGGATCTCGTATCCATCATAATTCTACGTTTTGGGCTCTACAGAATCTGAGGAAACGCGTATAGAATTGTGTTTTGACTTTGTTTTGTTCTGCGAAGAATAAACTTCTAGCTCAATACGTTGTTCCTAATTCGAAACCATAGTTTTTAAGTAGATAAGCTTGACGAAAATGTGAACGTTCCAGATCCAAATTCAAATAAACTATCGAAATTAAGCTCCTTAAACAAAACTGTTGACATTCTTTCCAAAGCACTCTTCGCAAAAATGGCTTTTTCCCAATTTTGATCAACAGGAAAGATTCGATCATATCGTGTGATACATCAAAGTAATCAGAAAAAAAAACTTTTCAAAAATGTGAAAATCCAATATGGCGCCCATAAGAAAAAACAAAGTTGTGTGTTGTAATAATAATAATAATAATAATAATAATAATTTTTATTTTCTGTTAAATGTATAACATAAAACAGTAAAGTACGTCAAAAAAAAAGAAAAAATATAACAAACAAACAATGCGACAGCATCACAATTAAATACAATATATTCATCACGTTACTAACATTACATATAGAATTACATAAAATACTCATCCAGCGTATAGCAGGCCTTTTGAATTAGCTGTTGTTTAAGCCTCTTTTTAAATATATTCAAGTTTTTGGAGCTCTTAAGTTGTTCATCAAGAGAGTTATATAGCTTACAACCAGTATAATGAAAACTTTTCTGGTACAACGTAGTCCGGTGTCTCTCAGGTTGGAGGTGGCTTTTAAAGCGTGTATTATGATCGTGCTTCTCAACAGTATTCAAAAACATGTTTTTATTTTTATAAACGTATAAACAAACTTCTAGTATGTATAAACTAACTACGGTTAGGATGTTGGAAGTTCTGAAATATGCTCTGCAACTTGTTCTCATATCGACACTAGCAAGAATTCGAATTGCATACTTCTGAAGAACCAGTACTCTATTCACATGAGCACAATTGCCCCAATTCAAAATCCCGTACTTTATGTGGGAATGGAAATTGGCATAGTACAACGAGAGTAGTATGTGCCGACTGCAGTGGTTCTTCATAAATTTCAGACTATAACAGCTACTCTGTAATTTTTTGCACAAATTATTGATATGATCAACCCAATGAAGCTGCCTGTCGAAAGTAACTCCCAATAGTTTTACTGACATGCTGCTGGTTATTTCATTATCAGAATCTTCAAATAGTTTGACTACATCTATCCTGCTGGAACCAAAAAGAACAGTTATTGTTTTTCCATGATTAAGTTGTAGATTATTATTTTTTGACCATTTCTCAATATTCGAATAAACCATTTCAGCAGTACTTTTTAGCCTATTTAGATCTTCATCTATAACCAATATATTCGTATCATCTGCATAACACGTAACATGAACATTCTGTATCTTCCGAATATAAAGTATAAGATCGTTAGCGAAAATATTGAAAAGAAGAGGACCTAAAACAGAACCCTGTGGCACACCTTGCTCGATATCCATTTCATCAGAAAAAGTGCTGTTCACTCTAATTATTTGTTTCCTTCTGCTGAGATATGAATCTATTAAATTCAGTGGCAAACCTCTTATTCCATATCTTTCTAGCTTGGCACAAAGTAACTGATGATTCACTAGATCGAAAGCCTTTGAGAAGTCAATGAAAATACCCAAAACAAACATTTTTTTGTCAATACTTGAAATTATTTTCTGACTGAACTCACAGAGTGCCGATTCTGTGCTTTTGTTACTGCAGAAACCATGTTGTTCTGGTGATAGGAGTTTGTACTTGACTAAATACTTGGTTAACCGATCCTTTACTGCCATCTCAAACAATTTAGAGATACTACATAACAGGCTAATTGCTCTGTAATTCACAAAATCATTTGGATCCCCTTTCTTGTGCAGAGGTTGAACTATTGCGAGTTTGAAATTCTCTGGGAATTTTCCTTCTTGAAAACAAAGATTGATCAGATAATTCAGCGGAGCACTAATCCAGGAGCTGCATTTTTTCAATAAATTATTGGAAATGTTGTCATTACCAGAAGAATTGGAGGATTTGAGCATACTTATTAATGATTCAACTTCAGCAAGTGTCACAGGTTCTAGATAAAATGATGTTGTCGATAAAGGGATATTTGAATCTAAAAAATTATAGTCGCACACAAAATTTTCACTGATATTGATAGTGAACTGATTCGCAAAATGATCGGCGACAATCCTATCTGGTAAAAGAGAATTATTTTGTGTAATAGTCAAAACGTTAGATTTATTATTACCGGCTTTCAGTTCATTAATAATTTTCCACATTGTTTTCATTTTATTATCCGATTCCTGTATTCTCATGTCATTTAAATTGGTTTTAGCTACTCTCAGAGCATTACAGTAATTTTTCTGCAAATATTTGCTGATGTCCTTATAATCATGGTTGGTCTTAGCTAAATCGTTATAGAGAGTAACCTGATTTTTTAACCTTATGATTTCATCAGTGATCCATTCATTATCACATAATTTTCTCTTGCTGTCAATTGATATTTTACGGAGAGGAAAGCAGGAATCCAAATAATAGAACATCAAATTCGAGAAGCTGTTGCACGCTCCATTCAAACTCTCTTGATTGTAAATAGTATGCCATGTTTCAACACTCAGGTGATTTAGGAAAGCAATATGATTTTGGTCATTGAAAGATCTATGCATTATATGATGTTTTGTTTTCCGTTGTCCACAAGGTGTAGAATGCAATATTTCGATGTGTTGTGAAAAATGATCAGATAGTCCAAGATCAAGCACTTCAGCTACACGAAAATTGAGATCAGAATTAACTAAAAAGTTGTCTATACATGTACTAGAAGTTTGTGTTACCCTGGTTGATTCAATTATAGTTGAAGATAAATTGTGACATCCAAGTACGTCGTTTAATAAAATACAGTTGAGATTTCTTGAAGAAAAGTCAACATTAAAATCACCTCCAATGATGACTTGCTTATTAGCAAGAGTTCTAAGGTTTAAAAATTCAGTGAAGATATCTAGGAAACTTTTATAATCTCCTGATGGTGGTCTGTAAACAACAGCTATGATCAAATCGTGGGATAGTGAAACCGCTGCACATTCAAATATCCCTTCCCTACAAACAGAGTCTACATTCACTTTTTGGCAGTTAGTTTTGAAGTTTTTATTGCTGTAAATGGCTACACCACCATTTTTAGTATCTTTCCTGCAGAAAAAATTTATCAGATTGAATCTGCTCAATGAGTATGATTTTATCTGATTTTCTGTCATCCAATGTTCGGAAATAAGAAGTATATCGCATTTGATACTGTCAAAAACCACATCAATATTCAAAATTTTATTACTTAAACATTGTATATTCTGATGAATAATATCAACAGAATGCAATAGTTTGTCATTATTCGTGTTACATTCAACTAATTTCTCATTTTCGATTACATACTCATTGGGGGCGCTTCCAGTGATAAACGCGGGTATAAAAAAGCATTTTCTTGATGAGTTTGAACGTTACTGTTCGGACTTGTTGTCGAAAATTCAGAGCAGATTCTTGATCTACAGGTTTCAGTTATATGCTTAATGAGTGCTTTAGCTAAGAACTTTTTTCCTACAAAATTGATAGTGCGTCCATCATTATGATAGTTTATTTCCCTGAAAATGTTATTGCAATCTAAGAAACATGCTGTATGTCCATCATCTGCAAATAATCCTCTGAAGAGATTCATGTTCCTATTGTAAATATTATTATTCATATTTTTCCAATCATACCGATATGGTTCTGAGACTACAATTGGGTTTGTATGTGAAGATTTCAGTATAAAGTTATTTTTCAATTCCAAACATGATCTGTTTGTCCAAAGAACTACCACATCATGTTTAGTGAAAGATCTTGAATTGTTCAAAGCAGTCGATATCAATTCCTCTACACTACAGTTTGGTTTTATTACAGACTGTACTAAAAAATCATTATTTATTTGATTTCGCATGAAATTCCCTAACAGTTTGCCTTGGTATCCAGCCACAATTAGAATGTTCTTTGCCGATACACTTTCTTTCAAAGTGTTTGGGTCAGGCAGTGCATTATTTAAAACTCTGGTTTTCACTATGTCTTGACTAATTGTTGCTATTCTATCTACCATATTTTCGACTC